TTCATCTCTGACACCTCGTCAACGCCGCGTCCGCTCGCTGTCCCTTATTCCTTCTATCGCCGTTGCTTCGCCTGGTCTTCCACCTTCCGCCCATTCTCAGGAGGAGGAGGAGGAGGTTATCGACGAGCTTGTTGACGAGGAGTAGGTGCGCTTGTTTTTACGGACTCTTTTACTTGGCATGCATTCGGACATCTTAGTTCTTGGACTTTCTATATCAACCTTTTTGTGTCATTATTTTTTGTAGTTAGATTCTGCTGTCCTTATAGTAGAATCTTGACTTTGTCTTTCTTGAACTTTGAGATTTGTTCCTAAGTGAGAGCCTTTTTGCATGCTTTCTAGAGTGTGAACTTGTGAATTTTCGACTTTATTTCGCATTTTCCTATCAAATTCACTCTGCCTTAGGGTTTTATTGTCTCTAGTTCGCGTTTTTATGACTCTTTTCCCCTTGGTGGTTTTAGTGAATCATGAAATCGAATTTCTTATCTATCAAGGTAGCCTTGATCCCTCCCCCTCACTAAATATTGACTGTCCTCAGTCAAAACGACTAAGTTCATAGGTCACGTGGCGCGGGAAATCCAAGGCTCGGAAAGTTTATTCTATTTTTAGACGTGATCGCGCTGGAACGCGCAACTCCAAATTTTTCACGCTTCAATTAAATTGCAACGCGGAATTTCGGAACGCGCACGCCTTGGTCTCAGACACACATATAAAAGCAGGCAGTGGCGAAAATTTTTCGGACAGAACAGTTTTTTGCTTTTCTACCACGCACTCTCATTTTACCACTCGCTCATTATGTCTATCCCACACAACGCTCTTCCCGCCGCTGTCAAGCTTCGCGAGTCCGCTCTTACTGCCTTCAAAACTTATCAGGACATGAAAGAGGGACTGAACAGCGCTGCCGCTCCCACCATTCTTGGCGTAGCCGCTAATTACTGTGTAAGTCGCGAATTTTTCTGTTATAAACTTCGTATTCTCTATTTCTTCGAACAAAGGCTAATACTGCGCACTTGACTAGGTTCAGCTTATCGACACCAAGGATCCGTGTCTGCTTATGCACCAGCCAATGCACAACGTGCTTTTCCTTGTTAGAGGCGAGTACAATACCCGCAGCACTGGAGTTCACGCCATCGCGCCCCCAGCCGACCTCGACACTATCAAAGAATATTGTCGCGCCGTTCTCGCCGCGCGCGCCGCTGCGCAGGTCGTTCCACCACCTGTTACTGCTCAAGCTCAGGCTCAGGCTGAGATTGCAGAGGTAATGGCCGCCGCTAAAGCCAAGGCACGTTTATACTTATTTTGTTCATCTTTTCTCATTTTATTAACGCAGCGCG